CAGAACGCTTACCTTTTTTGGTTCCCATACGCTTTCGTGTCGTTTGCTAACAACACGGATGGATTTATCTTATTCTTTGCAGTTGGTGCGTCGTCATTAAAAAGTCAACGGCCACTTTCTCCTACATCCTGTGTTACTGTCCAGCAGTGGGTACAGTACAGTCCCAAACTAGCAGCAGTTGTGGGTGAGGGTTGCGTGCGACTCCTGAGAATCAATACAAGACGCCAAACTGGCGGCGCTTTTATAGTCCCGTTCTCGTGGTTGAGGCTGCATGCAAGTCATCTTCGAGGCTACGTAATATACTGTGGCGTGTGCATGGACCGCCATTTTGCAACTATCAAGTGGTATCGTGTTCAGAATTTCAAGAATAATTTAAATTCCTTCTATACAAATGTGACCAAATCGATTGACATTATCATTAAGTGGAGTGAATCTGGTTCGTGTTGGAGTTGTCAAGTCAGTTCATCTGTGGTTAACCTGAGAAAGTGTCGTGTTTTTTTCTGGTTGCTCTCTCCTCAATACAAACCCCGCCCTACCATCCAATTAACCTCTCCTGGTCTGTGAAAATGGACTCACATGCTCGTTGAACTACATGCTGCTCTCCCCAAACCTGGACTATTCTGCGTATTCCAGACGAAAGTCGAAATATTCGTATTGCGTCTACAGTTGAGTTTCTTAAATTAGGTACAGAATAGACCCGTCTGACATATAATACTGGAACGAATTGTCTTGTTTCCGTACTACTATTATTATTATTATTATTATTATTATTATTATTATGTATACTGATACTAGTGCAAGAATGATTCGTTGCCTTTAAGCTAAAGGAATTGTGATTATCCTACATATCTATTTGCCAAACCTCCTTTTAAATGAGTAAACACCTTTCTTTCCACGTATTTACTTCCAACTCCCATGCAAGTTCAACTAAAAGTTTTTAATTCAAAATTTAATTCTTTGAAAAGTTCAGCAATTTCACCAAAACAATTTTAACGCTCCTGATGATCGCTATGTAGGACGAAACATCTTGTGTGTAATATGACAAATAAAGATATACAACTTAAAAGAATCAAAAGGATTAAAAACTAAGAATTAAATTTTGAATTTTAAATAATTTAGTGTAAGTTGCACGGAAGACGGAAGCGAATATATGATAAATGCAATAAGATACTGAAATATTACAGAGTGAATACTTTGTCTGTAAATCCAGTACTTAGATACATAAAAGATTTACAGCGCCAGTAATTTAAACTTTCACTATTCTTTCCTTTCATTGTAAAGGCATGGCTGTTTGAATTCGGCCTGCGACTCCATGACTGAAATGTTTATGTGTCTGACTTGGGTCATATATATATATATATATGTAGGCTCCTGTTTCGGAATTAATTCTCTGTATACCAAATTAAACTTCCCTTCTCATTAAGAAAGTAATGTTTTGTCCGGAAAACTAGTTAAACAGTCGTTTACTTCGTTAATTCTATGTTTAAAAGAGCTGAGTTGCTACGCAGACATTCGTTTCTAGAGACTAGAGAAAGTCTGTATAGTCCCGATCGATATCTCGAAAGGAAATACGTAGACTATCTTCTCTTACTTTGACCTTCGTTACGCGAAGCATATGGACTAACATTTCTTGTAGTGCGCTTTCTGACAGCTGGTATCATCACTGAAGCCCATTCTGAATTAGCTTTAATGTAAGTGGGCTCATTTTCATATGGTTGCATCCTTGACCAATCCTTCATCCACGTTTCTATTTCAGCTTCCCATCGAAGGAACAGCGGCGAAGTTCCGAAGAATGTCCTTGTGTGCGCATGCAACGTTTTAACGATAATGAGCAGACTTATGCTACACAGAAAATCCTAATTTTGTGCTATTCTGTTTAGTATCCGCGATATCCGTGAATTTGAACTGTGAAGTGTTGTTAAGTGGTTGCATATTCTGTGACGTTGAAGGTTCGTTGTTTGTGTGGGATGTGGTTGTGCTGCCGCAAGGTGAGATGCCGATTGGCTTAAGTATAAGCGTCTTGGCTTATTTAACGACGCTTTCATAGCTGTGCAACTTACGTCACTTCAAGTGGTAGGATTAATCAGAATGGATATGTAGCCTCTGTGGAGGACCTGAGGAGAAACACTAGAAAGCAAGTCCGGTTGTAACGAACAAGTCATCTCATGCGGTAAAGCTTCTGACTTGTATTCGAAGGCTACAAGTTGGAATTTCTTTTTGGACACCGTTTTTCGTGACTGAGTTCGTATTTCCCCCAGTCCCTCCAGGCAAGATCAGTTATAGTACCTTAAATTAGACCACTAAGACTTCCTTCCAGATTCGTTACAAATCATCATTCACTCTCATCCAAATATTCATTAAATTATAGCTCGAGATACTCGCACAGACAGCATTGTTAAATAGACTATACGTAAGTAAGAAGAAATAGCAGACCCTTGTCTTTGATTCGAATTTTGAACCTCTGAAATTTCCAAATGAATAATAATAATAATAATAATAATAATAATAATAATAATAATAATCAGCATCTTCATAGATTAGGCCATACGTGATCTGTTCTGTCCTCTAGAAAAATATGTTTAAATTCCAAACCATGCATTGTAATTTATGTTCTATGTTAGTTAAATAGTTAGTTGTAGTGTTGATCAGTTGTTGCTGATAATCACTTTCATTTCTCCCTTCTTATCACCTTATGCCGAATTCTTATGGCAGAAATGAACATTGCAGATTCGCAACGAATATGTATGTTGTTGAATATCATTATGAAAAGCTGCACCTACTTCATTAAACATATAGTGGCATCAATAAATGTTTCAAATAGACGTAGATCATAATAAGAATTTTATTTTATATAAAATGAGCCATCTAGAGACAGTTCTTTAATATTCATGTTGAACTAACATAAAGGAGTTGCTACACATGAACTAGTGCGAACAAAAATAATTAAATTCGCTTTATAAACTTTATTATAAAAGACGCATAACATATTTAATTTAAATGAGTTCAGTGGTTTGAAAAATGAAACATACGGGAAGATACACACGCTTCCTCATTATGCCTTCATTTTTCACACTCGGTTAAAAATTATGACCGAGCTGTCCACTTTCACCTCAGACATTCTGCCCCACATTAGCCTGGTTTGTGCACTTAGCTGTTCCTTCGTTTCCAAGACTGAAAGAGACAGATAACATTTTATGAGTTTCTGATAAGATATCTCGCTCGTCTATTTCATGTCTGCCTGGTCTGGACTAGCTACTTACCTCGCAGGTTGTGACCATACATATAGTCACAACCTGCGAGATCTATGCGATTTCTATTGTACTACTGACGAAAAATGGAATACTGCATATAATCATTTTCACAAAACAGGAAAGTCATACGTGTTCTGTTGTTTGCGTGATTTCATGATAACCGAAAATGGTCAAATGGGTTGTGAAGAAAGACAATTTTTTACAGTTTGGAGAATGCGAGAAATACAATTAAAATGATTTCGTGCCGTAGGCGAATAGCTGAAAGGAAGATTCTCTACTTAGGTCTCTATAAGGCCGCGCCATAGCTCAAGCGGTTAGTGGCTGGCTTCCCACCGCGGCGGCCCGAGTTCGATCCAAGGCCTGGTCAAGTGGGATTTGTGGTGGACAAAGTGGAGCTAGGGCAGGTTTTCTTCGAGTACTTCAGTTTCCCCTGCCAATCTTCATTCCACCAATTGCTTCACAATCTCCCTCACCTATCATCTGGGGCTGGTACAATAGGCCAGAAGTGGCCGCAGTAGAATGGACTTAGTCCTACCCCACTAGCAATAAAAAAAATAGGTCTATATACCGACAAAACTCATGTTGGTAGCCCACATCATAATCTTAAAATTCCAGTGTTCCGCACCACTGCTTGCAGGTTGCCAAAGTCAGATGACTACCCAAATCTGAATCTTCAAAGGGGTCCCAAAATTTAATGAAATGAATAATTCCCTTTCTAAGTTCTGACATGTACCCGAAGGATGGGTTTAACTTAACGGATATCCTTTTTCGGCCAGTTTACGGTCACATAAAATCGTTTTATGAAACACATTTATGGCAGAACTTTTCAACTGAATTGGAACTGGGAACAAAATCCAGATACACTCAGCTTCTCTACTTAAATTGTATTTTTTTGGAAAGCAATCAATGAGCAAGCCAAGAAGAAAGTGGAAGTAGACGATAACGGTTAATATTGAAGGAACAGGTTTTGTTAGAATAAAATTTAATTGTTCATATATGTGACTAGGCAAAGGGTTTGGATTGGTAACTGAATTTATTGAAAAAAATTAGCTCGTGACAAGTAACTCTAATAGTCTCACTAATCTATACTCTTTACAAATCACTATAGGCTACGGTAAGTCTGACTGTTATAGCCTTCACTAGTCGTTTCTCGGTAACGGTTCCTAATCACACAGAGTCTTCTGCTCCTTTATTTAAGTCTTTAGTCGTTGGCGACTATCTCGCAACTCCTCATAGCCCCAACTCCAATCCATGGCTGAACAACTTTTCCCGCTAGCTCTCGCTACATAGCATCGGCACGGATCGCATTAAGGACACGCATTTCCTTAAATGCTTTGTGCGTATATGTTGCTGCGGTACATGTTTACGGATCCGTTACGTAACTTCAAACAATTTGTGCTGGCTACATTATTCCAGCCTTTCAGCTGCCATATCTCAATGATAAAGAACGACAGGTCCGGTTCTAGTGGGCAGTGTTAAACCTGTCAGTTGCAACATTAATCTACACAGTCAATTACTTTATTGTGCCGAGAGAGGTGGTTTCCTTTCATGTCCATGACCATTTTGCCTTAGACGTTTAAATTACAGTTTTCATTAAAACGTTAAATGGAAGATAAATCTGCGGACATGGGTAATTAATGACGAGCATTTCATGATATTGTGATCACATGAACATTCTCTAGCAGTTTTACTGATTGCATAGATTTGATTTCTGTAGATGGTTGTTTCATGTTGTTTTCTTCGTTGCAGTCGGACGGGAACACTGCGTTCCTTCGTGCTGCCAGGGCTGGGCATCTGGACAAGGTGCTGGAACACCTCAAGTCCAATATAGACATCAATACGTCCAACTCGGTGAGTACTTTGTACCCTTGATTAAGCATATATGAACCTTTCAGAGAAAACTAATGATTTCTACCTCATTTTGTCATGCAAATTAAGTTTATTATATTTAGCATGTTCGTTTTTTTTTTGCGGAAAAATGTATGTGTTCACTTTCTGTGTCATTTACTTTGCACCAATATCCCCACTTCTAGGTCAGTTTACAAATAAAATTTAACGCTTTATGTGGAGGTCATATCTACCCAATATTCTGCCTTCTCTGTGAACTATTATCAGGGCTTAAACAGTTCCATTGGTTTTCTTAAAATTATACATGAGAGATTTCCATTAAATATTATTGGTTAGTTCCGATATTCCCCGATACTGATCCATAATATAGCCTGGTTTACATGAGACTATAAATAGATTCGTCAGTACATGCCGCATGGTTCTACATGGGAGACTCACAAAATTTAATGGAAAATTCCGATTTTCAACCATATTTATACATTGTAAAGTTTGCGTTTTCTTAAGGCTATAAATGGACTTCCAACTTATCCATAATCACATCTACAAAATTTGTTAAAATCTTAAATGCGAGGCTCCTTCCCATTCATACTTTTTATTCTGACTTTGGAAGAAGCTTAATATTGTCACGTGGTTTAGTGATTAGTAACTCGGTTTCTGGATTGGACACACTAGTTAATTTACTCCTTATACACTCCATCAGTAATTACACGTAATGATAGCGCTATCGCTATTTCTGCAATTTATAATTCACTGTTACACACACACGCACACTAGTCGTCTCCTGGAAATGCAATTAAAACACAGGAACTATAATACTCTCGCTTAATTACCCACTCCAGATATTACACATAAAGTTTTCTCTTCACAGCTGTACTCTTGCAACAAACTCTTAACTTCACAGCCTCCCGTACAGAACTGAATCAACTCTCCTGGACTGGACTTCTCGTCTAAGTCAAAGTCACTTTGTGACTGACGGTCAGTCAGTTAATCTTTATGTCGAGCCCAATATGGTCTTATGACCAGATAATTATTAATGTTTGACAGTTACGGTCTTGTTATTGTGGGGTTCCCTCTCTGACGAGAGGACGGGTCTGTCTTTGTTAGAATTATTGTTAGCATTAATAAGTCATTTGACATAATGTAAAGGCCATTTGCATTTTACATGTAAATAAATGTATATAAAATATATATAGGGCCTCTATCAGTTCAGGCTCAGTACAGAAGATTATGCTCTATTTCTGTAGTTTTCGATACAACGACATAGAAAACAGCCTCGTCTATTTTTGCGTGTTGGACTGTATTTACGGAGCCGTTGCTTGGAAACGCGTTGGCCATATCTATTACAGTATTTAACTTCAAAGAAGGCAATTGGTAAATTTTGTGTACTACACTGCGGAATGTCCTTTCCAGTCTTGTTTATTTCAGCCGTTATATCATAACGCGAGCATGAAACAACTGTAGACAAACCTATCCCTCGAAGGAGGTCGCAGATGACCACATGTGAATGTACGAACCTTCCTCCTACGTAGGGGATACACGGGATATTTCCCCGGGGTCGTACAGGCGACGGAAATGCACCAGTCACTTCGTGCTATACCACGGATGAGAAGTGTCACTTATATGCATGTATAGACTGCTGGTAATTAGCAGGCTTCCTGTGAGTGAAACTTGTGAAAATGTGGCTCGTGCAACGCCTATGTGCACTTACTGAGGCTTTCGTAAGAAATATTAGTCAGTCCCTTTCACTGATGGTGTGAATGTAAAAGAATATGGTGCATGGAAAGCACGCATTAAATATCTTCAAACCAACCTCAGTTTTAATCGTTTCTTGCATTCTGTTGTGTGTTTAATCAATAGTAGAGTGAATTTACCGACTACACAACCCGTTTTTTATTATCACTACATGTTTCGACCTTAAGAGGTCATCCTCAGGTGTATGAACACGGCTGTATAATTACACGCGGTCAGTGGAAAGTGAATGCGACCGCGTGTAATTATACAGCCGTGTTCATACACCTGAGGATGACCTCTTGAGGTCGAAACATATAGTGATAATAAAAAACGTGTTGTGTAGTCGGTAAATTCACTCTACTATCAACGTCAGTTTGCCCATTGAAAATTTTCCGAAACTAATCATATGCGTCTCCCATGCTCAGTAAGTGTGTCCACTTCCGCTATGTAGAATAACTGTACGCAGAGCTTCAGAAATTGCTTCCATGTGAACGTGTTCAGAGAAAGCTCAGCGTGGGAAAGGAGCATGAGGAGTTTTAAATGTTACCTATATATGTGTGGAATGTTATTTGGACATTACTTTTCATATTTAATGGGAATTAAGGCTTATGCTTATAAGAAAATACATTTAATGCTCTCCCAAAGGTTTGTTCCTGGCGTCAGTGGAACAATATTAACAAGCTGAAGCATTCCTGGCTATATTTAGTAATTCCTGGCAGCTAATTCTGCTGCTAAGAAATTAAGAACTGTTGCTTTACTAAGAAGAAAGTCTCTTTTAAACTAGATCCTTTGTTTGTTGAAGTGTTAAAGAATGGAAATTTATATTGCATTACGAGGTCGCTAACCCCTTAATGACATAGTGACAAATTGCCATTCTGACATCGTTTTTAAATACACTCCATTAGCAATGCCAGTAAGGCTAAGTGCTTTCAGTGCAGTTCAAAACAAAACTCGCGCAGCGTATACGCTGAAGAGACTTTTAAATGTGATAACCTACTCTTTTTGGAAGCATTGGGCCTATTTATTTTTCTACATTTCGTGATGACAGCTATTGCGACTAATGAGGTTCATGGACCGGTGACTTACGACAAATACAAGCAGAATTCTGCTTGCGAGACATTGTATAGCTCCTACATATATGTTAAGGAAATGGTGATTAACCTGGCATTATAAACGACAGTCGGCGATTATGTATCATTTCTAGCTGGATATTTTATATAATCGGTAGATATTTTTTTCCCCTTGGCACTACAGCCCCAGTGGGCCTAGGCCTACCTCCATGAACTCAGTTCACTTCGGTTTATCTCGATCTTACACATACGGTAGGACTCCTTGGGCGAGTGATCAGCTCGTTGCAAGGCCTATACCTGTGGACAAACACAGAAAAACGCACACAAATATCCATGCCCTGAGTGGGATTCGAACCCTCTATCCCGGCTTCCGAGCGAGCGAATAGAGTGCGTGCCTTAGACCGCTCGACTACCGTGACCGGCAAACGGTAGATATTATTCATAGTACAGGAATTATTCAATAATACCCTTACAGATATTTACATGGAGAGCACAGGAATTATTTAGGATGGATTTATTGATTTCGCCGTGGGAATAACTGAGGCATCGTACCTGAAATTCTAAGCATGCAATTAGATTACGAAAAGACGTGAAAATATTTGCATCCTTACCTTGCGTTTTCAAACAAAGTAAGTTAGTGGAAGTGCTGTCAAAGTGTCAGGCCTTTGAATTCAGTGAAAATTAAATACCAGCAAAAAAATGTCGTTTGCCGGTCACGGTAGCCGAGCGTCTAGGACATGTACTGTCTTTTCTCGCTCGGAAGCAGGGATCGTGGGTTGCAATCCCACACAAAGGGTGGATTTTTGGTGTGTGTATGTGTTTATTCTGTGTTTGTGTTGTCCTGTGTTTAGGTAGAGGCCTAGAGGCCGTCCGTCACAGATCTTAAACACTGACCTACTTATTTCGAATGGCGTAACTTATTATACAAGTTGTGGAGCTCTTAATGGGGTTCATTAAATTCTATTTGTTCTTCGAGAATGCAGATTATGGTGCATCACTACTGCATGCTTACCCTCTTTCTATATTTATCACACTGTACGCAAGTCCACCATGTACAATTTGAATTGGCAGGCAGGCTGAGTGGGTTTAGATCATTGTAATACGCGGATCTCAATGACGCCTAATTATTCTCTTATTAAGTGCCTCTACACAACCCTCAGTGCATTTACGTGAATTTATTCTGACCTAAATTTAATTACCTAGAACAATTTAACGTAAACAATAACAAGCATAAGTAAAAGCAAATAAGAAGTGCGGGAAGGTTTAATATGTAGGAAAAGTTAGGGACTGTATGTTAGGGGCTGTTATGAATGAAACTATGGTTAGGAGAATGTATATGTTATTTAATTTTTAGTTCAATTCTAAATTTAAGGCAATATTTTATACTATTTTCTTTGTGTTAAAGGCTTGGGTAATAAATAATTTCTGTGTTTCTTGCTTCCTCTGTTATTAGTCTTAGTTTAAGGCAGACGGTAAATAGTGTCAGCTTATTATTACTAGATGGATACGGACTTAATGCAAATTACATTCTAGCTTCTGTGTTAGAACAGCGCATAATCTAGTCCTATCCATGATGGCCAGGTGAGGTTCTATTTGAAGCATTCAGCATAATTAGAAGCTATGATGTTAATTGTTAGTTTATATGCAGTCTACTGTCAGCCATCATTAAACAGTGCGATTCTACTTGCCTGTTGCATGCATATCGGTAACACTGATCTGTATTAGGCTCTGCCATAGCTCAGACTGTTAGTTGTAGGCTTCCTACCGCGGCGGCCAGGGTTCGAGCCTAGGTCAAATCATGTGGGATTTTGGTTGACAAAGCGGCACTGTGACACGTGTTCTCCGATTACTTGGTTTTCCTCTGCCAATTCTCATTCCACCGACTGCTCCATATTCATTATCTACCACACGGGGCAGGTACAGTAGGCCAATTAGTGGCCGAGGTACCAAGTGGACTCAGTCTCAACCCACTCCAAGAAACTAACTGATCTTTTTCGGATGTGTTAAGCCGGCGTTTCAGCTGTAGTCGTTGAATTGTTCCTCAGCGCTTCGTGACACATGCCAGGATAGTACCCCGACTAGGTTAAAAACACTTTTCGCTGTATGAAATTTTAATTCGCTGACTACATTAGTACTGAAAACTTTTGAAATTTTCGCCGCATCCTTAAGTAAACTGCACGTCGAATGTATAGGTGAAACAAT